GAGGGGAGGCTGGAGCAGTGCAAGGTGAGGCTGGCAGAGGGTGGGTGGGGCTTGTGTGTGGAGGCACAAGGTGGGGGCACCTCACTGTAATCTGTGCTAGATCCTTTCACAGCTGTCCTGTGTGTGTGTTTGGCAAGAAAAAGCAGCGATGACCTCATCCCACTTGCCGTCACGACACAGGGGGTGCGACAGTTTTGAGGATGGTGCAGGCCGGGCAGTCCTGCTCTGCTGTACACAAGGCCGCTGGCCTGAGGGCACCTGCCAGTAGCCGGGTAGTAATCCTGTTGGTGAGCAGGATTTTGTCACGCTCATGAGGCCCTGTCAGTGTGGGTGTGTACTGACCTCCCCTGAGAGCTGACTGAGAAAGCAGAGATCAGGGAGGCAGAGGCCAGGCCACAGGGAGGTCTAAAGAACCCACAGACTCCGAGAGGAGACGAGGCCTTTCCAGAACGGGCAGAGGGCCCTGCCTTGGAGCAGGCCCCTGAATTCAGCCTGTGGCCTGAACTGGAAGAGAATCACTGCGCTGAAGGCCTGTGTGGTGTGTTACCATGATGTTGGGGAGATGCCTCCTTCCACGGGGTGTGTGCACTCAGCTGCCAAGATGAAAGCATGAGAGGTAGGGCTGACAGCCCACACAAGACCACCTGGTGGAGGGGCCCAGGCCCAGGGGGCTTAGAGTGGGCTGCAAGCCCAAGGGTTGGAGGTTCTGTTCCAATGAGCTCAGCAGGTTGCTCTGTAGGGATCACAGCCTCAGACGCCCACGGGGGCAGTTCCACCTGGTCCCTGAGCCCCGGCTTCTCCTCTCTGTCACACACACATACATGTGCACACACACACATACGGGAGTGTACACCAGGGAGGTACACACTCTTCAGAAGGACCAATCACAGGAGATCGAAGGGCAGCATTTACTCAGGGAGAAAGCTCAGAAGGCAGGAACGGATAGGAAAGGTGGGCAAATGGAAACAGGAAATACTGGAAGCAAGTAGGGAAAGTGCTGTTACCTTGTGGGGATTGTAATTGGTGTTACAAACACAACGTGTATGAATGGTTGAATGGAAAACCAATTTGTCCTTAAACTCACTCTCAAATCACAATAGAAAGTTTTAAAAGCACTAGCCCTTGTCAAAATCTATGTTTGTAGCCTTAAAATAGTGCACCTATTTAATATAACTTATACTTAATAAAGTTGATTAAGTTTCTTTTTAAAAAATAAAAAGCACATGAATGGCTGAACAGAAAATGCTCCATAAGCTTTCACTGAAGTCACAATAAAGAGCTTACATTACATTTCGAAAGGCTCTTTCTGATGTGGCCCTCGCAGATGCACAGCCCAAGGTCCTCAGGCAGCAGACCCCACGGGTCTGTGGAGACTCAGGAACAGGGAACACGCAGGAGGGGAGAGTGCAGGCAGTCACTGGTGCCATCGTCAGGAGAGCCGTGCTGGACGAGCGCCCTTGTGCCACCACAGGACAAATGCTCTCCAGATGGTCAGCCGGCAGCCAGGCTGAGCTGATTATCAGATCGGAGGGACAGCTTTCTGCTAGATGGCCACCTGGGGATGAGGACAGACATGTCCAAAGCTGTCACACACCTCTCAGATGGCTGGAGTGCACTCGGAACTGTCTCCATCCCCCATCGCCAGGCTATGCTGCTTTCAAAGGGCATCGAGAAGGAGGGACCTCTGCCCCCCACCGGTCTCAGCCACAGCCTATTGCAGCACTGTGACCTGGAGGAGAGAGGGTTCTGAGGTGGTAAATATCTGTGTCCCACAGAGCGGCTGGTGGGTTCTAACTGATGACCTGTGATTAGCAGCCAAACACTTAACACACTTCGCCACCAGAACTCCTGGATCTTGACAAAGGAAGAAAGTATTTCTAACATTTCATAATGCCAATTAATTGTTTCTATGAACACTGATAATTCACCACCCACCCATCAGTGTGTCGTGCTGTGGGGCTGCGGCCCTGGAAGCTATGCCACCAGTGTTTGAAATGGCAGCAGGGTCACCCTTGGTGGACCCATATGTTTTCAGTGGAGTTTCTAACTTAAGACAGACTAGGAAGAAAGGCCTGGCTACCTAATTAGGAAAACCAGCCACCGAAAACTGTGGATTACAACAAAGCACAGCTTCACCCACTTTGGACACATCATCAGGAAGGACTGGTCACTGAAGAGCTTGATGTGGGTGAAGCAGAGGGCAGTGACAGGGAGGGAGACCCGTGTGGTGGACGGACACAATAGTCCCAGGAGACATGAGCATGCCAGTGATCATAGAGGTGGTGCAAGGCTCGGTGACCTCTCGCTCCATTGTGAGGTCAGCATAAGGAGCCCACTGCAGGGCATGCGTTTCCACCACCATCTAGCATCTGTCTACCACCTAGGTATCTACCTGTCCTCTGTATCTATCCATACAGCTGCCTCCCTATCCACCAGTCATCCACCCCTATCACTGCCTCTTATCCATATAGATGCACACACCTATCTGCCACCTCTGTATCTACCTATCCATCCACCCCATCACTGTCATCCACATACATCCATGTATCATCCCTATCCACACCTATGTATCCATCCATCCGTCATCCTCATACCTACATCCATGTATCCATCACCTGCCTCTGTATCCATCCACCCCATCACCATCTGTCATCCACATACGTACATCCACGTATCCATCCCTATCCACATCTATGTAGCCATCTGTCATCCTCATCCCTGCCGTCCACAGATCCATCCCATCGCCACCTCTGTCATCTACATACCTATCATCCACGTATCCAAATGTATCCATCATCTACCTGTGTATCTGTCCATCCATCTATCCACCTTAGCAGCAATGTACCTGTCATCTCTCTCCACATCCACCTGTCTGACACCCCTCCACCCCCCACCCCCCCATGGATCGACATGATACTCTGTCCTCAGACGGTCATGTGGGTTCCCTCTTCACTGGCACACCTTTAAGCCTAATGTACCGAATGGAAGCGCCCTCAGTAGCATGGGGTTTGAGCTCAGACAGGCCTCAGTGCCCCGGTATTTTGTTTTTAGTAGCTGTCGAGTCTGACTCCCGATCACGAGCGCTCTGCTCAGGCAGGTCGGCAGGCTGTCCTCTGAGGCACCTTTGCACAGGCTTGAGCCACCAACCTTTTGGCTAGCAGCCTGGCCTGGAACCCTGGTGGCGAGGTGGATTAAGCATCGGGCCGCTATTCAAAAGGGTGGACATTCAATTTAGTTTTTATAACCAGCATGGCCAACTTTGTTCCAAAGTTCTGCAAAGCTGGGGCTAGGTCTCCTGGGCCTAGGTCAGGTTGTGAACAGAGGCCTTGGCCATTTAGGAGGCACAACTCTGCCCACGTAGCTGGGCTCCTCCTGAAGGGATGCACCCTGGATCAATCGGAGGGGGTGGGCAAAGCCCTGCCCAGGTCCCAGGAAGGTACTCCTGAGGGGAATTATGCAGGGTCAAGGGGAGGGGTGGGCACCAACCTGTGAGGTCATCTCTCTTGGGAGCCCCAGCTTGTTACGTCCATGAGGCAGAGTACTAACGTGGGTATGTCTGAACTGATTGCTTCTGGATGTGCAAGAGCTGACTGGTTACAGGAGCTGCACAGATGGAGGGCGACGGGCTTCACGACAGGAAGACCACCAAGGGACAGAGGCTGTGGAGATGAGGACCGTGCCCAGAGCCAGTGCCGAGTCACCACGCAGCCTCCTCCTGGCTGCGAGAACACGTTCCTGCTCACTGGAGCAGCCCCTGTGGGATCCTGGTCCGGCAGCACTGGTGCATTCAGACACCTTTCAAGTGGCCACAAGCGCTACCACAGGGAAGCTGTTACAGCCAAACGGGACACTCAGGGCCCACAGGGTCCCACATGAGGTTTCCTTAGAGGGTGCAGGGAGAGCAGTCAGTGTCATGCACACGTCCCTGGTGGCTCAGGAGACCAGCACCTCTGGGTCCACAACCACAGAGCCCTGCCCATCACTCACCACCTCCCAGGAATGAGGGCCTGCCAATGCCTTCAGACCAAGCCCTGCCTCAACCCCCACCAGATCTGCTTAGCCTACTGGAGAACGGGAGGCTCTTGTCACAGGGACAGTGGCATCAAAGTCACTTCTACTCCCTGTGGAGGAGGAGATCTCAGGCAGCAGGGTCAAGCACCCATTTGCTACTGATCAGCAGTTCAAACCCATCAGCTGCTCTGTGGAAGAAAGAGAGGCAGTCTGCTTCTAGAAAGATTTACCGCAGAACCCAGCCCACTACCATAATGGGCTCTGACTCAAGACTAGATTTGAAGAGGGACTGCGTCACCTTTCTCCCATGAAGTGGCTGGTGGATTCCAACCACTAACCTTTTGACAGCAGCCACCAAGACTCTATCTGCAACTGGGCAAAAAACGGAAGCCCTGACTTGAGGCTCCCACACCCACTTCCTCCTGGACAGCGGAACCCTTCCTTCCCATCGCTGGGTCCAGACGAGGGCATCTGTCGCTGGGGCAGAATAAACACGAGGGCACGTGGGGAAAGCAGCTGTTGCCTTTTACTTCACCTCGCCCCTTCTCCACATTTTGTCTTAAATAGTTGAAATATATTAATCTTAAAAAACCCAATATTCACACAGTCCATTGTGGATGCCGCCTGCGAACGACTCCTCCCTCCCTCTGACTTGCACACCACGGGTGGAACAGGAGCAGGTGTGGTCAGACAGTGGGCATGGTCAGCAGGAGTGGGTGCGGCCAGACAAGGCGAACACATGGACAGGAGTGGACAGGGCCAGATGAGGTGGGTGTGGCCGGCATGAGTGGGTGTGGCTAGTCGGGTGGGTGAGGTCAGCGTGAAAGGGCCTGTTAGCCGCTCCACTGGTAAGAGCCCTCTGGAATTCTGGGCTGTGACAATACAGGAGGCAATGCATCCATAAAAAAAACATGTGGTGACTTGATCCGTCATGGGGGGCAGACCCTTCATTTAAAGTAACAATTTAAAAAATAAAGTCACCAAAGGATGCCATCGAGTGGGGCCTGACCGACGGCCCCCAGTGTGTGCAGCGCAGAACGCGCCGGCAGTCTCCAGTGGCTGTGGCCGCTGGAAGGGGGCTGCCAGGCTTTTCTCCCGTGATTCGAATGGCCACCATTGCCGTCGGTGGTCAACTGTCCCCGAGAGGCGCCTGGACCCTCTGGCTGGAGCACCTGGGCCTGGTGCCCTGGCCTTCAGTCCTGGAGGAGGCCCTCCGCCTGGAGCACCTGGACCTGGTGCCCCGGCCTTCAGTCCTGGAGGAGGCCCTCCGGCTTGGGATAGCCAAAGAGGACAAAATCTGCCTCATAGAGTTTGTAGAGCTGCTGCCTCCAGGCCAGGGGAATCCTGGCGAACCAGTCCTCCTCCCAGCTGCTGGCCGTCCGGTTGCGGTAGCTTGGGGGGAAGTGGAGGAGCTGGTCTACGTTGAGGAGGTGCAGCAGCTGGGCAGCATCCTGGTCCAGCGTCTCCAGCTTGCCCACAAAGTCGTAGTCGATCTGGCAGGGGTGGCAGAGGCGGTAGACCTGCCGCCAGTGCTCGTTGAAGGGCGCCAGGCGCTCGGTGTGCGGGTCCAGCAGGTACTGGATGAAGTTGGTGAAGGACACTTTGAGGCCGGCGCTGAAGGCCTCGCTGACGGAGGCGGGCAGGCTGGTGCGGTTGGAGTACTTGCGCAGCATGGGCACCGCGAAGCGCCGGTAGAACTCCTCGTTCTCCAGCTCGAATTTGCTGCGGAAGGCGGAGATGAGGCGCACGAAGGGGTCGCGCACGAACAGGAATTTGGTGTACTTCTTGAGCTTGACCCGCATGAGGTGCCGCGAGAACTTGCCGTAGCGGCGCCAGAACTTGTTGAAGGTCAGGTGCGTGCTGGAGTTGTGCACGTGCTCGCGCGGGATGGCCAGCGGCTCGCGGTAGGGCGCGCCGCGGTCCAGCAGGCTCTCGCTGAGCACGATCATGACGCGCTTCCAGTTGGTGCAGGCCACCTTGGGCACGTAGCAGTAGATGACGCCGTGGCGGTCGTCCACGATGAGGTGGTTCAGCTCGTAGTTGGGGATGTCGTCGAAGGAGCGCTCCTTGGTGGGGAAGACGAAGCTGGAGTTGGCGCAGAAGTCCCTGAGCACGCGCCGCCGCTCGGCCTGCCGCAGGTCCTGGTCCGGGCTCTGCGCCGTGTCGTGGGGGGACCAGTCGTAGCCCCTCACGCGCTCCTCCATGTTGCCCGGGGCCGGCCGGCTGGCGGGGGGCGGCGGGGGCCGCGCGCTCTTCCTTGCCGCAGGCTCACTGGGCTTCAGGCCCGAGCTGAGCAGCTTGTCCAGGAACTCGTCCACGTCGGCGGCCAAGTCCCGGGGGCCCTCGGGCCCAGGCGTGGGCGGCTCCACGCGGGGCCGGGACAGCGCGGTGTGCAGGTAGAAGTGGGCAGTGCCCACGCTGTCCCAGTACACGATGATGAGCAGGACCATGAAGGCCGAGCCCAGCGCCAGCCAGAGCCGGAAGAGGCGCGCCTTCGCCATGCTGCGCACCGGGCTGCTGCGGACGGCGCGGGGCGCCGGGACCCTCACTGTGCGCTCCAGCGCAGGGGCGCAGGGCGCTCCAGGTCCTGCAGGACAAGACAGAACAAGGCTGAGCCGGGGGTCTCCCGCCCTTCTCCTGCGGGACGGTCACCTGCTGCCCTCCTTCCCGCCCGATCCTCCACAGTGGGGTCGGGCAGGGTGGGGTGGGCAGCTGACCACACGGAGGGGCACAGGAAGGCCTGCGGCACACAGGGACTCGGTCTAAAGAGGCCAGATGGCGAGACCAGAGGAAGCAGATGGTGCCCAGCGACCACTGGTGACCTCTGAAATGGACCACTGCTCCAGGGTCTGGATGAGTGGAAGACAAACATGCAATAAAGGGGGAAATAATTTGGAAAAAGACCAGGCTCACCAGTTAAAAAGACTGGTGGACCCCAAGGTCTGACCCTCAGTCACCCCCAAGCCTGAGTGTGAAATCATCCCCAAGGTCCCACGGGAAACCAAATCTCTTGCCGAGGGGTGGACTCTGAATCAGGGTGGCCCTCCATAGGTTATGAGGCTGTGACTCTGCTGGAGAAGACTGTCATCTTTGTCCTGAGGGGTGGTTTGGTGGGTTTGAACTGCTAACCCTTCAGTTAGTAGCCCAATACATAACGTACTCCGCCACAAGCCTCCTTTTCCAATCTATAGAGCGGCCTAACACCAACTCGGTACACTCTCCTTACAACTACCAAGCACATAAGACCCAAAGGGCAACATCTGCCCAAGAACATAGCTCAGAGGACGAAAGGAAATGAGAAATACAGGAAGGAAGTAGGAAGAGTGCTGATACATGTGGGGATTGTATGTCATAGAACAGAATGACTATGAATCACTGAAAGAAAGAAACTCTGCCCTGTAAACTTCCACCCAAACCACAATTTATTTTCTTTTTAAAAAGGGCATAGTATAAAAGGGCACTCATAGGGGAGCTCTGGTGGCCTACTGGCAAGAAGCTGCACTGCAATCTCAAAGATACGCGGTTCGAATCCACCAGATGCTCTGCCAGAGAAGGAGGGGCAAATCTCCTCCTGTACCAGTCAGATCTGATTTGACGGTACACACACACACAAAATAATAATAATAATAATAATAATAATAATAATAATTATTATTATTATTATTTTATTTTTTTTAAAGGGCACTGATAGTACAAAGTATTGGAGTCACCAAAAAGAAAGTCATTTTACTGCTTCCAAATGAAAGAGCCCTGGTGGCCTAGTGGCAAAGAGCTCTGCTCTCAATCCAAAGGTGCGCGGTTTGAATCCAGCTGCTGCTCTACACTCTGCAGAAGGATGGGTAATCCTCTCCTGTGTGATATACTGCTTCTGGGAACGCACTGGAGGCTCAGCTGTCAGTTCTGAATCAGCAGCACACAACAACAACTTCAAAATAAATGAGTGAACAAAGTGAGGGTGTGGAGACGTGGCAGGGCGAGTCACGGGGTCACTTGAGAAGGGCCAGGAAACCAAGGCAGCAGGCGCCGTCAAAGCGCAGTGTGAACTCCGGTCTGTGGAAACACTACCAATGCCCCAAGAGAACGTGCAGATGGGGGCTAGAATCAAGGTCATGGGTAAGATGGGTAAGAATGCTGACTGGATGCCGCCTCCTCTGTAAACCTGCTCTCAAACCACAGTCACAAAGCTTACACGCATGCACACACACTCATGTGCACGTGTATGCCTCCCTTGGAATCCATTCTGGCTCACGGCTGCTGTCTGTCCCGGCCACAGCAATCAGTCACAGGCTGTCTCTCTCTGACGTGACTGGGCCTCTGACGTGTCTGGGCCTCTGACCGGTCTGGGCGTGTGCTAGGAAAGCGTGCAGGAAAAGAAACAACACCTGTAGCAGTCTCGTGCACACCAGGTTGTACTCACATGATTTGTAGCCCATTTTAAAAATGAGATCCTAGGGGAGCTCTGGTGGCCTAGTGGCAAGGAGCTGCAACTACAATCCCTGAGGCACACAGTTTGAATCCACCAGATGCTCTGCCGGGGAAGGAGGGACAATCTCCTCCTGTACCAGTCAGATCTGATTTGACGGTACACACACGCAAAAATAATAAAATTTAAAAAAAAAGAGATCCTACGTCCCTCCCTGCAGCTTGCTGAAAGCACTGGTGAAAAAGATAATAGGCTGCAGCCTTAGGTATGAATTAAACTTCTGATCAAGAAAACCAAACTCCTCCTAAGTGGACCAATGAGGAATCCAGGATAAATGTCGAGAGAAGTGAAGTTTTAAGGGTTTCCTTTGGCTTAGACCAACACCCACAGAAGCAGCACTCGAGAAATCAACTATGGGCAGACCTGCTGCCAAGAACTCGTTTACATTTTGAAGTGCAGAGAAGCCTGGCCTAGGTCTTTTTTTAAAATTTTATTTTATTTTTTTATTAATTTCAATGAACATTTACAAAGGCCTAGGTCTTTTCAATCATCTTGTGTGCATACAAAAGGCTTAGGGAAGACTTAGAAAGTACTGCTGCCTTTGAGCTGTGGTGGTAAAGAGTACGGGATATACAGTAAACTGTCCAAAACCAAACACATCTGTCCTGGAGGAAGTGCGGCCAGAGAGCAAGGAGGGTGAGACTGTGCTTCCCACTCTGTGGGTGTGTCACTAGGAGGGACCAGTCCCTGGAGAAGGACACCATGCTATAGCAAAAAGAGGAAGCCTCAGCCGGGTTGAACCGAGTGGACGGAGCACTGCAGTGAAGCCCAGCAGGCAGTGAGGACAGAGCAGGGTTTGTTCCCTTGTGCACGGGGTCACAGCCACCTTCATGCTGTTCCCTTTAAGGATGTCCAGTAGTAACTGCTTCTTGAGATGAAGATGAAACCACACTCCATCCCCCTACAAGACCCCCCCCAATTCACCGAACGTGTCAAGTAGCAAAGAAACTTGACAAATGAAGAGGTAATTTCATATGTGAAAGCAAAATTAAACATGTAAACTATTTAATAACTTATAATTTAAAGCCAGTAACCATGGATAGACTGTCACCAAGGGCTCCCCTCAGGGCTGCTGTTGGAGTCTCCACTATGCTCTGGGGCACACCTTTCCCCAGAGAGGCACAGGCTAGTTCACCAGCTTATTAAACCAAACTTAACTTTAAAAAATATTTGCAATACAAGTATACAGAAACAAGAGCTCCTTTTTCCAGGATGGTGAAGCTCAGCTTGTCCGCTTCCAGACTGAGAAACATCTCACTCGGGGGCTCAGTCACGGATGCAGATGGCACCTCAGCTTTTCTGCAGCCCCCATCAATCCAGAGGAAGGTGCAGATACCCCCAGACTCACTCCCTCGGAGCAGGGGCCCACCGAGGTCTGAGGCAGTGCTTGATGCTCACCCTGCAATCCTTCCTAATTGCAAACCACTCAACCAACAGCAGCCTAAGACGCTCACGGACCAGGTAAGCGAGCCTTTGATGGAAAGACTGTGGGCACAAACAAACGTCAGGAACCGATGTTCGTGGTCGTGTTTTGTCCTTCAGAACCGCGAGAGGAAGCAGCAGAGAGCCAGCCGCTGTGGAGAGGTCTCTGACCCACAGTGACTGTCGTGTGTCAGATGACCAGTGTGCCCGGGGACTCCAGTGGCCAGGCTCACGTCTCCCCAGCCCTTCTCAGTGCTACTGGGGAGACACTCAGCAGCCTTCTGACAAGCACTCAGGCGTGTGCACCACCCAAGGCGTCCCCAGAGTGCTTCAACAAGCAAGTCAAAGAGGTATAAAGTACAGCTCCTTAGAGTCAGGGTCACTCACACACTGTGGCCGTGACCGGACCCCAGTCAGCTGAAAGCAGCAGCCTTCAAGCAGATGGACCGTGTGGGGGCTGTGCGGGGGCTCCAGCACACACAGGGACAGTGCAGGAAGGGAAGGGCGTCCTTCTGAAGTGCACTGGCTCACCAGTAGTGGGACCTGGCCAACACCCAACACCGACATACACTGAGCCACCTGCAGGCACTCTGAGTCTGAAGCCCTAGTTAACGCTGCAGCCTGGTGAGGAACAGGGCCATGTTAGGGGAGGAGGGGCCACCTGACCAGTCACAGCCCGATCTGCTTCAAATCTCAGCAGAGAACAATGACTCCCCCATCATGTCACTGCTCATTCAAAAGACAAAACAAAACAACACCCAAACCCACTGCCCACAAGTCACTTCCACTTCCGACTCACAGTGGTGGCCCTGTGGGACAGAGCAGAACTGCCTGTTCACCCTCATGGAAGCAGACTGTCACATCTGCCTCATCTTGGTGGGACGGCTCATGGGTTCAAACCGCTGATCTTCTGGTCAGCAGCTGAGTGCTTTAAACACTGTACTACCAAGTTCCTTCATTAGAAAGAGAAGGGCATGATTTAGAAAAATGCATCTACCTGAGAACCCAGAAATGGACCCAGCTATCTATGGTCAACTGATATTTGAAAAAGAAATAACACCTATCATCAAGTAAGGAAATGACAACCTCTTCAACAAATGGTGCTGGTGAAATTCAACTGCTACCTGTGGAACGCTGAAACAGGATCCACATCTCACACCATACACAAAAATCAATTTAAAGTGGATCAGAGACCTGGGAGTAAACCAAAGCCATCAAGTTCATAAGAGACAAACAGGGATCAAGCTTAGAAGGCCTAGTCTATGGTATAAAGACACTGCCAAGTACAGGCAGAAATGCACAAGCTGATGAGGATAAAATTGATGAATGAGACCTTCTAAAGATTAAATCCCTGTGCGCATGAAAAACTTTTCCCAACAAGATGAAAAGAAAACCTACTCATTGGGAACAAACATTTGGCAATACTATCTCAGACAACGGTCTCATAACGAAAGTTTACAGAATACTCCAGGGCCTCCACAAGAAAAAGACTGATAACCCAATTATAAAATGGGCAAATGACATAGAAAGAATTTTCAAAGGAAGATATTTGAACGACCAACAGACACATGAAGAAATGCTCCAAATAACCGGCAA